GTTGTCGTTCCAGCGCCGAATGGCTCGGCGCCATTGTCTGTAGTGGGCCCAGCCGGGCCATGCTGGACAGTCCGAGAAATCACCTCGACCACCAGTCCATTGGCCCGACCACCAGTTGCTGTTCCAGCTCGAACTCCAGTCCTGGTGCTCGTCCCACTTCTGATCCTCCTTCACGTCGTCCTTGTCGCCAGGTGGGCGCCACTGTCCTGAATCTCCTGCTGCTTCTCCGCTGCCCACCTCGGCGACTGGTCTGGTTCTGCTGCTGATCCACGGGTCGGCCCCCGTGCCGTCCCATGGGTCGGCCGCCGTCGGTGCTGTCTCTGGCGGTGGCCGCTGCTGCTGTTGGCCAAAATGGCCGAGCGCCCGCACGGTCTCCTGGACCGCGGATTGTATTGCCCGAGTGAGCGTCTCCTGGTCGATCGTCGTCGTCGCCGCCACGACTGTAGATCCTGATGCCGCTGCTCCCGCCGTCGACTCCTCAGCCCCTCGGGCTGTCATGACGGCGAAGGTCTCATCTCGTCCATCGCCTCCTGGGGCGATTGGCGGCGGCTGCCGCTCACCATCTGCGGGCATCTCTGCCGTGGATCCCACGCTGCTCAGTGGTCAGAGCGAAGCCTGGCTCCGGGGCGCGCAAGCGCCGAGCGGCCTGGCCGTCACAGCCAGCCTCTCGCGCCCATGGCCTCCGGGCCGGACCCCGCTCCGCTACCAACTGTGGCAGCAGGAGAGGGGACATAATGTTTTCCCTTGAGCCAAACGTGGCACGGACACGTACAAGATGGATCTCTGTCCATCGGTCCCCAGAGTGAAACACCAAAAGCTAAACCTATACGTGAGATTATGGACCCCTGGAACACCCGCAAAAAGGGCGCATGCGCGACCCCACGCGGGAAGCCGGCGCGCACCTGTCCGCGCCGTCGACCCCGCTGCCCGACAGCTCGGGGAAAAGAGCACGACATGGATGTCCACTGCAGGAGGTCCGCGCGAGCTCTCTTGGATCGCGCCGCCTGGGGGCCCCGCGCCGATCTGAGAAACCGGCGCGGACCTCAGAGACATCAGGTCTGTGCAATGTGCTGCTCTTCTCTGTGGTCGTTTTTTTTGAAGGGGCCCCAGGACACACAAATAAATACACACAAATAAAAATATTCCCCATATTTTCCCATATTTTCTGGATTTCTGTCTCCCCCCCCACTTCCACATTTTCCCATATTTTCTGAGGGATCGAGGATTAATTGTGTCTGTGTGTTTCTTTTCCTCCTGAGCAATGTGCTGCTCTTCTCTGTGGTCGGTTTTTTTTCTCCCGGGCAACGGTCGTTGCCCGGGGGAGGGGAGAGGGGTCGGGCAGCAGGGCCACCGGAGGGGCGGCCGCGGCGTGCACCCGCCAGGGTGCGTCCGCGCCACTGGCGTGAAGTCGGGCCTGGCCTCCTGCAGGGGAATTTTGGACGAAAAATAAGAAGTAGTCAAACATAAAATGATAAAACAAATTCATAAAACAAAATGAAAAATAGGAAAGTTCATAAGAAGTAGTCAAAATAAGAAGTAGTCAAAATAAGAAGTAGAAGAAGATAGTCAAAATAAGAGAAATGAGAAATTCAGAACAAAATGAGAAATTCATAAAATTCATAAAATAAGAAGTAGTCAAAATAAGAAGTTTGCAAAATTCATAAAACAAAATGAAAAACATCGTCCTCAGACTATGTTCCCTACCTAGGCTCTGCCTAGAAGGGTTCTTACTTTAGAGCTTAAAAGGGCCGGGCAGTGGAACGCGCCCTGGGCGGTTCCCCCAGGATCCGCCCCGCGGTTCCCCCAGTTGCGTCCCCTTAGCTTAGCGTTGCTTATCTCATCTGAGCTTAGCCTAGCTTAACTTAGCTCAGCTTAGCTTAGCCTAGCCTAGCTTAGCTTAGCTTAGCCTAGCCTAGCTTAGCTTAGCTTAGCTTCGCTTCGCTTAGCTCAGCTCAGCTTAGCTTAGTTTCGAGCAGCATTAGCATAGCATAGCATAGCATAGCATAGCATAGCATGCCATAGCATAGCGCAGCATAGCATAGCGCAGCATAGCATAGCATATACTAGCGCAGCATATCATAACATAGCATAGCGCAGCATATCATAGCATAGCATAGCATAGCATAGCATAGCGCAGCATGGCATAGCATAGCGCAGCATAGCATATCATGTCATAACATAGCATAGCATAGCGCAGCATAGCATAGTATAGCATAGCATAGCATAGCATAGCATGCCATAGCATAGCACATCATATCATAGCATAGCGCAGCATTGCATATCATAGCAGATCATAGCATAGCGCAGCATATCATATCATATTATAGCATATCATAGCGCAGCATAACATAGCATAGCACAGCATAACGCAGCATAGCATAGCATAGCATAGCCTAGCAGGATGTTGCTGTCCTAAAGGCTCCAACTCCTAGGTAGGGTCGCACTGGGATACTTTCTTAACTATTTTTGAATGTTCCCCTTATAGAGGGACAGGCCTGCGGGGGTCTGGCCCCCTCCTCCAGTGCGATCGTTAGCGTCTCCTGGGGTTTTTGGTGGGGCTCGGCCGGGGCAACGAGCGTTGCCCTGGGGAGAAGCACACACAGCGCGCTCGCTCTCCTCCTCCGACGACGCCCCCGATGCCTGTGACTACCTACCAGACCACCCCAACCCAACCACTCGAAGACCCAAATTTCGGTTTGGGGGGGGACGGGTTCCATCTGTGTTTTCTCGATGTTCCCCGACCCCCCCAACTGGACATGGTGGGCAAATCGAGACCTTCGGGTTGGGTTGGGGTGGCGTGGTGGGTGGTGAGCCTGGGGGAGAAGCCCGCGCCAGCCTCTGCGAGCGTCTGCTGACTACTTTGTGAATAAACTCATGCATGAACTCATCGCTGCTTTTAGTACTGAATCCTTGCATTTTTAACACATGATCCGCACGCGGAGCATGTATACACGTCGGTCGGAAGAAGTAGGTAAAACATGATGTAGGAAGGCGGATTAAGTTGATTGGGTCCAGGCCCCCCCAGAGAATAACAAAACATAGCAAAAGCGTGTCGATTCTTGAAGTAGGAAGGCGCTTGAAGTAGATTTGGATCGGGGAATCCAAACGGCGCTTGAAGTAGGAAGGCGCTTTCAACGACCTGCGTGTAAACAACGGCACTGTATGAGGATTGCTGCCGCCCCGCGCGGAGACGCGGCGCCGCCGCGGCCGCCGCGGAGCCCGAGGCCACCGCCCGCTCCGCCCCTGCGCGCAGGGTGCAGCCGGGCTCCTCCTGCCGCCGCTCGGACGCCCATTCCCCGTGGATTTGTTGTCGGTTTCGTGCGTTTTTTTTTTTTGTTATATATATATATATATATATATATATATATATATTAATATATATATATATATATATTATATATATTTGTTTGCTCGATGGTCCAGGATGGTCCTCGCTGGTTCTCGCCGAAAAAAATGCACACGTCCGAGCGGTGCCAAGTCTTGGTGGGCCCTGGAGACGACAGGGCCCTTTTTGCCTCCGGTGTCGTTCTGCCGCTTTTGTTTGCCGGCTTTGACGCCGCTGTTTTACCGGCTTCGTCGCCGTGGTTTCACATGGTCCGACTCTGGTTCCCCTCCTGGAGCCGTTCTTTTCTGCCGTTTCCGGCTGCCGTTTTTTGTTGCCGCTTCCATTTTTCGTGAAAGACTTTTCGGAAACGGTGAAAAATGGCCCTGCCGTTTCCGGGGCCCACTACGGTCGGGCTTGATTGGAAAGTACACGCGAGAGGACACAAGACCCTTCCGAGGGCTACACTTCCATAGGAACGCGAGAGGCGCGGGTCTCAGAAGACAGGACACAATGGTACCCTTGACTTGGTAGGGTCGCCCTACTAATCAAGGCCGACTGTAAGCGATTTTCTTATTCTGTGTTTCGGCATTTGTCAAGGGGCCCAAGGACACACAAATAAATACACACAAATGAAATGATTCCCCATATTTTCTGGGTGTTTTGTCTTCCCGCCCAATTCCCATATTTTCCTATATTTTCTTGGGGAGCGACGATTAATTGTGTCTGTGTGTTTCTTCCCCTCCTGAATTTGGACGAAAGGCGGGGGAGCCAGGGGCGGGTCTGTGCCTTGGCCAGTGCTTCGTCGATCTGCTCTCTTACCAGTCGCGCCAGTAGACTGGGGAGAAAGGAGCCCTGACCAGTCGCCCAAAGCAGCCGCCGAAGGCAGCCAAGAGATCTGCTGTATGGAGGGTGGGGAAGAAGGGGGGTGGGGCCAGGCATAATGGGCCCTGGAAAGGACAGGGCCGTTTTTTTACCGGTTCCGTTTTGCCGTTTTTTCGCCGGTTCCGACGCCGTTTTTGTACCGGTTCCGTCGCCGTTTTTGGCCGATTCCGGCTCCGGCTCGAATCCTGGAGCCGTTTTTTTGCCGTTTCCGGTCGCCGTTTGTTTGCCGTTCCCATTTTCAAGGGACATCTTTTTTTTGAAACGGTGAAAAAACGGCCCTGCCGTTTCCGGGGCCCACAAAGGGGCCGGGGGCCCGCGCCAATCCGGGGCAACTATGAAAAAGTTAACGATACCGTTATTCCCCTGACCTCTCCCAGGGTGCCCTCTGAGCGGAACTTCGAGGCGAACCCTGCGGTGGCGACGAGGGCCTCCCAGGAGGCCCACGAAGGGGAAAACGAGGCAAGGAAATCCGTATGTCGGGAACTGGAACGTATACATTACCAGTGGCGGGCTGCTTTTCAATCCCAGGACTTCTTGAGGGTCGAGGACGACGCTGGGGTGGTGTGGTGTATACTTGTTTCCCCGATGTCCCAAGGAAACAGCGCAAAATTAACACACCATGGTCCCGTATACACCAGCATCCGCTCCCCAGTGCAAATTCCAATGCAGGGCCGGAAGAAGCGTCGGTGTATAGAGATTGATTTCCTAGTCTGCGTACATTCTCCTCCTCCGACAATAGGCGAAACAATCTATAAGAACAGCGACCCGCCGCCGCGGAGCCCGAGGCCGCCGCCAGCCGCCAGGCGGGACCGGCGCCCATGCGCGCCTGCAGGCGCAGCGGCACGCAGGCGCGCGGCGCAGGGTCCCAAGTGGCCTCCGCGCCGGGCGGCCGCCGCGGCAGCGACGACGACGACGACGACGACGACGACGAGGGCAGCGGAGGCGGCGGCGGTGGCGGCGGTGGCGGCGGCAGCGGCGGCGGCGGCGGCGACGGCGCCGATTGAATCAATGAGCGGCTGAAAATCGGCGGCGAGCGAGGGGGGAAATGAGGAGGAGGCCTTCTCAAAAGGCGGCGGAAACGCTCTGGCCTTTGGAGCGGTTTTCTGCGTCTTCGGGGAAGGCTGAGACAACTTCTCGGAAGGCCGGGGGACTTCCGAACCTTCTGAGAAGGCCCGCCCCTTCTCACTTCCCCCTCTGGCTCGCCACTGAGTGAATGAACGGCTGAAGAGAAAAAGTCAATCGACTAATAGTGATACAGGAGAGCTTAGGCCTGCCTGACCTACTGCTTCTTGACCCTGGTACTCACGGAGAATCGCGAGCGGCGAACATACCCGCATCCGCGCCCCCGCAGTCTAGATTCTGGGGCGCGATCCCGCGGACATGCGCTCGCGCGGATGCAGTCCACGCGGGGCATCCGTGAAACAAAAACCGTATCCGCGGGGTCGCGGCCCATGTGCCCAACCCGCGAGGCCGCGGATACGGATATGCTGTTTCAACCGCGTCGCGAGGACCGCGACGGCGACGGTGGCAGAGCCTCCGCTGGCCATCGCTCGGACGTCCATCTCCTGTGTTTTCTTTTTTGGTATCGTGCGTGGTTTTTTTCGCCAACTGATCAAGGATGCTCCTCGATGATGCTCGCCGAAGGAAAAATGCACACGTCCGAGCGATGCCAAGTCCGTAGAGTCTCCCGGGCCGCCGCCGAGGACCTCCAGGGGCCAGACTTCCAGGGGTGACCCCCCTCCCCCTCGATGCGCCTCCGTGTCGAGCTCCGCGGCTTTATAGCGCCTTTCGCGGTGGTCCCCAGCTTTGTGGGCCCCGAAAAACGGCAGGGCCGTTTTTTTACCGTTTCCTCAAAAATGTCCCTTGAAACTGGCAACGGCAAAAAAACGGCGACCTGAAACGGCAAAAAACATGTTTTTTGTTGACGTTTCCTGTCGCCGTTTCTTTGCCGTACGGCTCCAGGATCGGAACTGGAGCCGGAACTGGTCAAACGGCGACGGAACCGGTAAAAAACGGCGTCGGAACCGGCGAAAAAACGGCAAAACGGAACGGGTAAAAAAACGGCCCTGTCGTTTCCAGGGCCCACTAAGGTCCCCAGCATGGCAAAATACAGTCCAAAGCCCCAGTCCAGCCACTCTCGGCACAAAGGCCCCTCGCAGCTCCCAGGGTGTTTCCAAGAGGCCCTGGCATGCCCCATGCAGCCGCAGAGCTGTCTAGCAGGGGCCTGGGAGGCCAAGATCATTGAAGGGGCCCCAGGACACACAAATGAATACACACAAAGAAACATATTCCCCATATGTTCGCGTATTTTCAAGGTTTTTGTTTTTCCCCCCACTTCCCATATTTTCCCATATTTTCCAAGGGATCGACGATTAATTGTGTCTGTGTACTTTCTTTCCTCCTGATCATTGAGCAACGTTGAGCAGGCGCTTCAAAACTTGTTGTTAGGCCTGACATGGATTCAGGGGGGCCGGAGAAGCTCCCCCGCAGCCATGGACGGCCCCAAGAGCCCGGAAGATCCCCCATTAGGGGCCAAGACCGCTCCACCTCCAACACCAAAGCAAGTCTACACGGCTCGATAACTCTTATACCGAGCGTCTTCGGGAGAACTCGGCAGAACCATCGCATCAAAGACGGAGGGCCCCCGAGAGATAACGATGATGCTCCAAGATGCCCCGGAGGAGCCCCCAGTAAGCATCCAACATGCCGTTGTATACATCGCAACAGCTACGCAACGTGACGACCACGCCACACCATGACATTTACACTGCTTTCCAGACGGCATCAACATGGCTGTGGCGAGCCTTTCCACGGACGAACGGTAGAACCATCGCGCTGAAGACGGCCCGGGAGTCCATGGGGGGCCTCGGAGACGTCCCCAGAACCAGGCACCGCTGGAGGAGGAAGAGGAGGAACAAAAAGGAGGAGGGGGAGGAGGAGGAGGAGGAGGAGGAGGAGGAGGAGGAGGAGGAGGAGGAGGAGGAGAGGAGGAGGAGGAGGAGGGGAGGAGGAGGAGGGGAGGAAAAGGAGGAGGAGGAGGAGGAGGAGGAGGAGGGGCGAAGGAGGCCTGGGCGCGAGATCTGGGACCCCTGTCTCTCAATCCAGGACCCCTCTCCCGCGGCGGCCCCGCCCCTCCTCCTCCCCTCTGGCGCGCCGCACGCCGGCGCGGCCTCCTCGCCCGTGTCGATGGACTCCTCGGGGCGCGGGGCGGGGCGCGCAGGCCTGCCCTCTCTCTCGCGGCGGCGGGAAGATCGGGCCCCGAGGGATGGGCCCCCAGGACGTGTATTAGGGCGACGAGATCTATACATATCCACTGCTCCTGGCCAGGCCCATCCTGGGCCCAGGAGCTGTGTATATGCCTCCCTGGCCAGGCCAGGAGGGCGTATACACCGCTCCTGGGCCCAGGATTGGCCTGGCCAGGAGCAGTGGATATGCATAGATCTCGTCGCCCTATGTATGGAGAACAGAAGGTGGCATACGTTCGACATCGCCCGATTCCAGGTCGCAGGCGGCGTGCGTCCTCGACGCGCCCGCTGTGGGGTGGCCGCCACGCCAGCGGAGCGCGAGCCTGCCTGGGGGAACAGAAAGTGGCATACGCATAAAAATTCGGAGGTCCGCGCGGATTCCTCGGATCGGCGCAGCGGCCCCTCGGCGGCGCCTCCGGCGCCGCCCCTGGCGCGCTCCGCGCGCCAGGGAGGGGGGTCCAGCGCCGATCCCGGAGATCCGCGCGGACCCCCGAGTTTTTATGCTTATGCCACTTTTTGTTCCCCCTAGAGACCCCTTCGCGGTGAAAAAGTTCGGCTCGGGACCCCTCCGGTGAGCCGCGCGCTCGACTGCGGGCGCGCGCTCTCCAGACCACGTCGCCGTACGTCGCCGTCGGCGGAAAGTCCCCATGAGCTCTGGGCGCCGCGGGCGGACCACACCTTAGTGGGCCCTGGAAACGACAGAACGACATGGCCTTTTTTTACCGGTTCCGTTTTGCCGTTTTTTTGCCGGTTCCGACGCCGTTTTTTTACCGCTTCCGTCGCCGTTTTTTGACCGGTTCCGGCTCCGGTTCCAATCCTGGAGCCGTTCTTTTGCCGTTTCCGGTCGCCGTTTGTTTGCCGTTTCCATTTTCAAAAGACATTTTTATCTGACAGCGAAGACTGATAGGTTCTAGTAGTGTCAGAAGAAAGCATCATGACTCCCCAAGGGGGTCTGGGCGGGATCCGGACGGGATCCGGGGGAATCCAGGGACTCCTTTTTTAGCAAACAGTAACGCACTTCGTAGTCTTCGAGTTCCCAGAACTCCACTCCTGGGCATGATTTTTGATGCCCGGAACCAACTGTAGGCCACTCCGTGGTCTTCGAGTTCCCAGAACTCCATTCCTGGGCATGATTTTGGATGCCCGGAGCCAGCAGTAGGCCACTTCGTGGTCTTCGAATTCCCAGAACTCCATTCCTGGGCATGATTTTGAATGCCCGGAACCAACTGTAAGCCAGTTCGTGGTCTTCGAGTTCCCAGAACTCCATTCCTGGGCATGATTTTAGATGCCCGGAGCCAACTGTAGGCCACTTCGTGTTCTTCGAGTTCCCAGAATTCCATTCCCGGGCCACATTTTGAATGCTGATGCAAACTGAGGCAGGCTGAGGCTGAGGCCGAGGCTGAAGGCAGACTGAGGCTGTGGCTGAAGCAGGCTGAGGCTGAGGCTGAGGCACGCTGAGGGTGAGGCTGAGGCAGGCTGATGCTGAGGCAGGCTGAGGCTGAGGCTGAGGCTGATGCAGGCTGAGGCTGAGGCAGGCTGAGGCTGAGGCTGAGGCTGAGGCTGAAGCTGATGCAGGCTGAGGCTGAGGCAGGCTGGGGCTGAAGGCAGACTGAAGCTGAGGCTATAGCAGGCTGAGGCTGAGGCAGGCTGAGGCTGAGTCTGAGGCTGAGGCCGAGGCTGATGCAGGCTGATGCTGAGGCATGCTGAGGCTGAGGCTGAGGCTGAGGCAGGCTGAGGCTGAGGCAGGCTGAGGCTGAGGCCGAGGCTGAAGGCAGACTGAGGCTGAGGCTGAAGCAGGCTGAGGCTGAGGCTGAGGCAGGCTGAGGCTGAGGCTGAGGCAGGCTGAGGCTGAGGCAGGCTGAGGCTGAGGCTGATGCAGGCTGAGGCTGAGGCAGGCTGAGGCTGAGGCCGAGGCTGAAGGCAGACTGAGGCTGAGGCTGAGGCTGAAGCAGGCTGAGGCTGAGCAGGCTGATGCTGAGGCCTGAGGCTGAGGCTGAGGCTGAGCTGAGGCTGAGGCAGGCTGAGGCTGAAGGCTGAAGGCAGACTGAGGCTGAGGCTGAAGCAGGCTGAGGCTGAGGCTGAGGCAGGCTGAGGCTGAGGAAGGCTGAGGCTGAGGCCAGGCTGAAGGCAGACTGAGGCTGAGGCTGAAGCAGGCTGAGGCTGAGGCTGAGGCAGGCTGAGGCTGAGGCAGGCTGAGGCTGAGGCCGAGCAGACTGAGGCTGAGGCTGAAGCAGGCTGAGGCTGAGGCTGAGGCAGGCTGAGGCTGAGGCTGAGGCTGAGGCAGGCTGATGCTGAGGCTGAGGCTGAGGCTGCGGCCCGAGGCTGAAGGCAGACTGAGGCTGAGGCTGAAGCAGCTGAGGCTGAGGCTGAAAAAAAAGAAAAGGCAGGTTGAGGCTGAGGCTGAGGCAGGCTGAGGCTGAGGCTGAGGCTGAGGCAGGCTGATGCTGAGGCAGGCTGAGGCTGAGGCTGAGCTTGATGCAGGCTGAGGCTGAGGCAGGCTGAGGCCGAGGCTCTGGGTTAGGCTGGGCCAGGCTGTGCTGGAACGGGCTGAGGCTGAGGCTGAGCTTGATGCAGCTGGCTGGGGCAGGCCTGAGGCTGAGGCCGAGGCTGAAGGCATACTGGCTGAGGCTGAAGCAGCTGTGGCTGAGGCTGAGGCAGCTGAGGCTGAGGCTGAGGCAGGCTGAGGCTGAGGCAGGCTGAGGCTGAGGCTGAGGCAAGCCGAGGCAGGCTGAGTCTGAGGCTGAGGCAGGCTGAGGCTGAGGCAGGCTGAGGCTGAGGCTGACGCAGGCTGAGGCCGAGGCAGGCTGAGGCTGAGGCTGAGGCTGAGGCAGGCTGAGGCTGAGGCAGGCTGAGGCTGAGGCTGACGCAGGCTGAGGCCGAGGCAGGCTGAAGTTGAGGCTGAGGCATGCTGAGGCTGAGGCAGGCTGAGACTGAGGCTGAGGCAGGCTGAGGCTGAGGCTGAGGCTGATGAAGGCTGGGCTGCGGCTGGAAGGCAGACTGGGCTGAGGCAGGCTGAGGCAGTCTGAGGGAGGCCTTATGCTTGAGGCTGAGGCAGGCTGAGGCTGAGGCTGCAGCGGCTGAGGCTGCGGCTGAGGCGGCTGCTGCTGAGCGGCTGAGTTGAGCTGAGGCAGTCTGAGGTAGGCTGGCTGCAGGCTGAGGCGTGAGGCTGAGGCTGAGGGCTGAGGCTGAGGCCGCGGCTGAGGCTGGGCCTGAGCTGAAGCAGGGTTGGCTGAGGCTGAGCTGCTTGGGCTGAGGCAGGCTTGATGCTTGAGTCAGGGCCAGGCTTAGGCCGGGCTGAAGAAACAGAGCCCACTGAGGCAGGCTGAGGCTGAGGCCGAGGCTGAAGGCAGACTGAGGCTGAGGCTGAGGCAGGCTGAGGCGGAGGCTGAGGCAGGCTGAGGCTGAGGCAGGCTGAGGCCGAGGCTGAGGCTGAAGCAGGCTGAGGCTGAGGCTGAGGGCGAGGCTGAGGCTGAGGCTGAGGCAGGCTGATGCTGAGGCAGGCTGAGGCTGAGGCTGATGCTGAGGCAGGCTGAGGCTGAGGCAGGCTGAGGCTGAGGCCGAGGCTGAAGGCAGACTGAGGCTGAGGCTGAGGCAGGCTGAGGCGGAGGCTGAGGCAGGCTGAGGCTGAGGCAGGCTGAGGCCGAGGCCGAGGCCGAGGCCGAGGCTGAGGCTGAGGCTGATGCAGGCTGAGGCTGAGGAAGGCTGAGGCTGAGGCCGAGCCTGAAGGCAGACTGAGGCCGAGGCTGAAGCAGGCTGAGGCTGAGACTGAGGCAGGCTGAGGCTGAGGCAGGCTGATGCTGAGGCAGGCTGAGGCTGAGGCTGTGACTCCGACTGCCGTTGCCGCTGCGACTGTCATCGCGAATGCGACTGCGAGAATGCTTCCAGATATGCTTCTACACATCGCTGTTAGGTTGCTTTGCCGGGATAATTACCTAACAGCGAAGACTGATAGGCTTCTAGTGGGGTCAAAAGAGAGCATCATGACTCCCCAGGGGGGTCTGAGCGGGATCCAGACGGGATCCGGGGACTCCTTAAGCAAACAATAACGCACTTCGTGGTCTTCGAGTTCCCAGAACTCCATTCCTGGGCATGATTTTGAATGCCCGGAGCCAGCTGTAGGCCACTTCTTGGTCTTCGAGTTCCCAGAACTCCATTCCTGGGCATGATTTTGAATGCCTGGAGCCAACTGTAGGCCACTTCGTGGTCTTCGAATTCCCAGAACTCCATTCCTGGGCATGATTTTGAATGCCCGGAGCCAACTGTAGGCCACTTCGTGTCTTCGAGTTCCCAGAACTCCATTCCTTGGCATGATTTTGAATGCCCGGAGCCAACTGTAGGCCACTTCGTGTCTTCGAGTTCCCAGAACTCCATTCCTGGGCCACATTTTGAATGCTGATGCCGGCTGAGGCTGAGGCTGATGCAGGCTGAGGCTGAGGCAGGCTGAGGCTGAGGCCGAGGCTGAAGGCAGACTGAGGCTGAGGCTGAAGCAGGCTGAGGCTGAGGCTGAGGCAGGCTGAGGCTGAGGCTGAGGCAGGCTGATGCTGAGGCAGGCTGAGGCTGAGGCTGAGGCTGATGCAGGCTGAGGCTGAGGCAGGCTGAGGCTGAGGCCGAGGCTGAAGGCAGACTGAGGCTGAGGCTGAAGCAGGCTGAGGCTGAGGCTGAGGCTGAGGCTGAGGCAGGCTGATGCTGAGGAGGCTGAGGCTGAGGCTGAGGCTGAGGCTGAGGCAGGCTGAGGCTGAGGCAGGCTGAGGCTGAGGCCGAGGCTGAAGGCAGACTGAGGCTGAGGCTGAAGCAGGCTGAGGCTGAGGCTGAGGCAGGCTGAGGCTGAGGCAGGCTGAGGCTGAGGCTGAAACAGGCTGAGGCTGAGGCTGAGGCAGGCTGAAGCTGAGGCAGGCTGAGGCTAAGGCTGAGGCTGAGGCCGAGGCTGAAGCAGGCTGAGGCTGAGGCCG